TAATCACGGACCAAAAGAATACAAATGACGGCCGGAACATTACAATTCATTAATATTGCATATTATTACAATTTTTATACGAAGTAATAATTTTGAAAATGAAACAAATTATTATCAATTACGGATCTAAAATATATACAAAATATATCGTAATGTATCCCTCACAATAGTTGTGATAATAAACAATTATCAAACTTTATATTCATATCGTGTTGGATACCTAACCCATATAATGATACATACATTCCCCTAATATTTACAAATTCCTCAAATCAATTTCATTTTCTTCCAACTTTTCAAGTCACATCTTAAATATAATGTACTTGTAAGGGGGGGGAAAAAAATTAAAGACGTTGAAGACATGAGTATATAAATCTTTTTCAAACAATGTTAGTTCGTTTTAGCAATATTGAGATAATTGATTAATTAATTATTCTACATTGGAATAAAACCATCACTTCAACATCTTTTATTTCAGTGCAAAATACTACTAAAATAATTGTTGAAGAGACAAGAGTCGAGATCCTAAAATAGAGTAGCTGTTAGAGTAAAGCCATTGGTTGCCCTTTTGTAGTGGGCATGAGGAGAGAGAAAATGAAATAATATTTAAAAAATAAAATTTCATCAATTTTGGAGAGAGAAATGCCATGACCAGGTCATGGCCATGACCTTTGGCAAAAGGTGGGCAAAGAATTTGAGTCCGCCACTTGTCCATCTATAATTGGCTGATAGTATTTATATTTTATTTTCTTTGTACAAGTATAATAAAGAAATTATTTATGAGTAGGGCAAGTAGTGGGCAACCAATGAGAGTGTATGGTCATAGGTGGGTATGAGAATTGGGCATAAATGAGATGAAAGAGAGAGATATATATTAAATATTTGATGACCACCATTGGCTTGGGCAACCAATGGTTGTACTCTTAGTGTAGCCTTCATGATAAAGGGATAAAAAGCAGCTCAGGACAACGTACAAATTAGCTAAGCCTGCATGGGCCCGCCTTCGGCCCTATTACTCTTATTGTGATAGTAACATTATTTTTGCTCAAAATATCTACCATATTGTTTGCAAACTTCCAAATTTTAATTATTATTGAAAATGTTTAAGAATTCTATTTATTCACTCATTTATTTTTGATATGATATATGATGGATGATTGTCCACAAATTAAGATATTTTGAGCAAATTTATTACCCATAAGTTAAATGGTAAAAGTGATTTTATGTCGATGCTACTTAAAGGATGCATTTGTATTGTATAATCTATAGCTCGTAACTTATTAGTTATTGTTACAGATTAATTTACAACGAATTGGTATAATAAGGTGATCGGTGGGTAGTATATATAGTTCATCTATTTCCATACGTGCTTATTTTGGGTGCAATAATATAAATTAAATCATGCACAAAGTTCCACACATAACTGAATACGAGTAACATTTAGCGCGTAATTGTTTGGATGAGCTCCACTCTTAAGAGTAACAAGCCAAAGATGCCACCAAATGATCTATTGGCATGGTATGATAAACACGTGGATACTAAATTTCTGTAAACGAGTAAATAACTATATGTGCACATCACTCTTACCATATATGAATATCGTGTAATGGAAATTGTGAATATGGATTTACACATATAACAAAATGAATATGAGTAGCATTTATTAGTGTTTAATTGTCTCTGCCACCAAATGATCTACTGGTATGGTATGATAAACGCGCAAATAGTGCTTTAACTTAGATAACTATGTACATGCTTATTTTGGCATACGTATGATATATATAATGTGAATTGTGAATAAAGTTTCACACTCAACTGAATGCCAGTAGCCCTAGCATTTAGTATGTGATTGTTCATAATATCAAGTGATATAATATTGTGAAAAAAGTACTGAAACAACTAATGTGTTAAATCATGAAAGTTTGAAAGGTAAAACCGCTTAGAGCAATAATCTTCATGAAAGTTGTAGGAATTCAAATTTTTTTAATTCAAAATTACCCTTTATAACCAATTTAATTGGATTATGGTTCTGTTCTTTTGAGTTGTACCCTTTATAACCAATTCAATTAGATTATGGTTCTGTTCTTTTGAGCTGTTCTGCTCTGTTTTGCTGAAATCTATTCAACTTTGCATTGCTCCGCTAAAATCTATTCAACTTTGCTTTGCATTGCTCCGCTGAAATCTGCTCAGTTAACTATTGCTCTGTTCTATCTAGAAGGTAAAGGCCTATATATCGAATGAATTGTAATTTTACAAGTGACAGTGATTGGTATTATGATACTCTATAATGCTGGAGTATTATTAATCCAACATTAAATATGAGTATATTGCAAAAACTTGGGAGTACATCAGTACAGTTAGCAATCCCCAACAAATAAGCTGTAACTGTCAGACGATGCTTGTTGAATTGGGATTGGCATCAAGTTGTACTTCTGTAAGAGGACAAACTTTGCAGAAATTATAAACATAACATAACCCTTTTAATTTTGAATAACATAACCCTTTAATTTTAATTGTAAATCAAATTATTATTTTTTCATTAATTAAATTAATTACTCTACAATTATCACCACTTTATATTTCCTCTCTAATCTTCCAACATGACAGCCTACCTGAAATCTGCTCCTAAATCAGCCTAAATTAAGTTTAATTAAATTAAAAAAATATAGGTGCATGTGTTAAGTAATAAAGATACTTTGTCACGTGATTATATTTTGGATCACTTTAATTAATTAATTATATGATTAAGATTATTAGGCATAATAATACAAGAACATTTGCTAATCAATGTTATAATGGAAAATATTTATAACAAAATTAAAGGTTAGTCCAAAGTATATATGATAGAGGCCTAATTGATGTAATAGCGTGTTAGATTCTGTACTTTCACATGCAATTGGTATCTTTACAAGTGTAGGTACGTACCCCTTGTATTTTGTTGTCACAATTACTCCCACATGTAATCACATGCATTTTACTTCAAAAATTACACTTCATAAGTTCATTTTTACCATTTTTAGTGTTTTATATGATGAAGTTTGCTAAATCTTGTAATTTGTATGTAAAGAATAGAATGGAAGGGTTTTTAGTTTTGAACTTGCTTGGATGGGTGGTGTTTTGTGGCTTACACGTTTGTTATTTACGTTATGTCATAATCGTGTTATTTCAAGAATTATTAACTACATATCTATCTGGTCTTATAAAGATAAAATGACGTTATATCATATTTATACGAAAGTTCATATCAGCACACCAAAATAAGAATTTTAAATATAAAGAAGAAAAAAAACAGATATTTGGAAAAGTCATTATATTTAAACGAAAGCTAAAATACCTCGATAAATTATTAGCTTAAAAATACGGTCAAATTTTAGTAAAATTGTGGAATTAGATTTGAGCCAATGAAACCAAAACTTTAAAATTTTAATCTAGGACACCTTATTTTAAACCAATTTTTTTTTCCCCAATGGAATAAAGGTGCCTTGATGAGAGGATTATTCCATTAGTAATATAATTATTTTACTTATTTACATTAATTATATTCTTTGGAGGGTCCTTATTAGTTATTATTGTGCTTCTTCCTCCATGATTGACATACATAATTTTCTTCCTGTCATAGAATGTAAAAATGATTCTTTTCTTTTGAATTACTCTGTAAAATGTTTTCGATTTAAGTTCACATGCAACATAGGACATACATAGTAATGTCTCATAAATAAATATAGTCATGTTATATTGTATGAATAAATAGAATCACACCGTCAAAAAAAAACAAAAAAAAACAAAAAAAAACAAAAAATGCTCTAAAATAAACACTTTATTCATACAACAAATTAAAGTGATCACCCACTTTCTAGCTAATCATCCTATCCACATATCCACTTACCACCTTTTCTCTTTCCCTCTCTCACAAGTTAATTTTTGAATTAAGCAAATCATTACACACTTAAAAATTAAAATCACATCCATTACAAATGTGATATAGTACAACCAAACTAACTAATCTCAACAAATTGAAAACTTTTCAATTTTTTATGATTCCGTAAAAAAATTTCACTTTTTTACGGTTATGAGAGAGAAAGCACACACTAATAGTGATTTTACTCTCTAGTTTTTTTTAAGTGATTTATTTTTCTTAAACCTTCTTTTTATTCAAAAACTTTTATATACATCCGGTTTACACTAATATTAGTGTATATCGAGCAGTATAGGGGTAACTTTAAGCCAATTTAAGGTAACTTTTTGCCTTTTTTGGGTAACTTTGAACATAATATGTTTTTTTTATAAACCGAACAAGAAAAGTTTTATAAGGCTGATAAAATTACTTTCAATCACTAATAATTGAATTTTAGTCATTTAAAATGTGCTCCTTTACCAATAAAACGCAGATTATTTTTATTTGTATTGGGTTACTTTTATAGTTTTATACATATTAGGGTAACTTTTATTCATTTTAGGGGTAACTTTTGATCACTTTAAGAGAGATTTAAAATGGATGTACAATAATTATTATACACCCAATTTTTTTAAAAGTTTGTGCTTTTTATTTGATGGGGTGATACAATTCCTTTTATGAAAATATATTTACTATTTTCAAATATATCTCACCTTTTTAGTCCCCACTACAGCTCTACTACTATATTTTTAATTATTACTTGTATTTTCTTAGTCTTTTCTCAAGGCTCTTGCTTCTATTGATTACGGAGTAATTATTTTTCTTGTTATATATCCTAATAAAAAAATTCTATAAAAATACATTACATACATTATAATTTTTCTAAAAATTTGCGAGAAAATTAGTGTGTCATTAAAAAAAACAGGAGAATAATATATTGTTAGAGTATCAAACACTCCTTCCTCTTGGACTATTTATTTTTTAATGAAAAAAAAAAATCACATAAGCCCTTTATTATAAAATAAAAATTAAAAGAAAATGAATACTCCTCTTTTTAACCAACTTACCGGTTAGTTACTTTTTATTATTAAATATTATGTGGACATATATAAAACCCTAAGAAGAAGGGTCTTTGCTTAACATTCGAAACAGAGTAAACAAAAACAGAGAAACAAAAAAAAAAAAAAAAAACACCACACCATGGCTGAGTTAGAGAACATAAACTCAGTACCAAACATGATCACCTTCCTCTCTTCTCTCCTTCAACGAGTCGCCGAGTCGAACGATATCACCCGACGATTAGAGCCTCAGAAGGTGTCTGTTTTCCATGGCCTTACTCGCCCTACAATCTCTGTTCAAAGTTACTTAGAAAGGATTTTTAAGTATGCAAATTGCAGCCCTTCTTGTTTTGTTGTTGCTTATGTTTATCTCGATCGATTTACGCAAAGACAGCCATTGTTGCCTATTAATTCTTACAATGTTCATCGATTGTTGATCACTAGTGTCATGATTTCTGCCAAATTCATGGATGACATGTAAGTTTCTCAATTTCTTAGTATAAATTTTGCAATTTTTGTTTACTCTGTTTTCTTCTGTTTCTTTCTTTTGATTTCTTATTTTTTGAGAAACTTATGTTTAAATGGTTTAATTATATGCTCAAATTTCTGGGTTTTTGAAGTAAATTACTGGGTTTTTAAACAAAATTGAATTATGGTTTTGTGGGTTTTAAATGTTTATAAATCATTGGGTCTCTGTTTTCAAATTGAATTTGTTATTTAAATCAGGATTTTGCAATTTAGTTTTCAATTTTTTCAGGAATTTCAGGAATAAATAATTAAGATTTATTATAACATGCCAAATTAATCATTTCATGTAATTATTTGAATATTAACCGATTTTTTTTGTGAAATTATTATTGGAAATTAGTAGTAAAATCATAATTTTTTTTGGTAAGAAATTGGGAAATGCTGGACCAGCTAATTCCAGCTAAAATTAATCTGTCTTTTTCTCAAATGAGTTAAATTTTTAAAATTAGAAGAAAATCTTTTATATGATCCTTTCACATGGGAGTCACTTAATAATGAGGCCCACTATTAAGCATAAATTTTGGATTGTAATAATATCAAATTTGAAAATAAATTTGAATTGATCCATTTAATTATTCTTTGTTGACTTTAATCTAAACTTTAATTTATGTTTTAATTTACAGGTATTACAACAATGCATATTATGCCAAAATTGGAGGTATAACCATCACAGAAATGAACTTCCTAGAGGTTGATTTCTTGTTTGGTTTGGGATTTCATTTAAATGTGACACCCAACACATTTCACACCTACTGTTCTTACCTTCAAAGAGAAATGTTGCTGCTACAACCCCCTCTTAATGTTGTTGTATCCGATTCTAATTCGTCGTTAATCATGGGTAAATCATCTACTATGATGATTCACTCGTGTTTTAACGACGATGAGCCTACGTCTCATCAACAACAACAACGACAATTAGCTGTTTAGCTAATCCGGGTTTTTACTAATTAGAACTTAATTTGTACTTAGCTTGTAGAGATAATCTCTGTCTCTTTTTTTTTTCTTTCTCGATTTAAAATGGTTATTGGTGGAAATGATGAGCAACATGAGAATTTTGCAACAGTTATATTTGTTTTTAAGTTTAATTCTTTCCCTCAATTTTAAATTTTTAGGTTACTTTACTTAGAAAATTTTTGGATCTGAAAATTTTAGTATATAATTTATGTTTTTTCTTTACAAAAATTGAAGTTCAAAAGGTTTTAATGTGGTCTCACTTTCTTACCAAATTGTATGAAGATACTTTGTCTTCATTTCTCAACCAAGCTCAGATTCTAAACCTTTTTTTATTTTGGTCCACACTTCATTTGCTGCTTGTGCTGAAAGGGAGACTTATCCACATGTACCCACCACCTTTGCTCCTCTTTGCACCTAGCCCTTAAGCAAAGTATTCACATCACTTTTAACAAGCAACCAACCTAACATATATTTTAAATTTAATATAATTTTTCTCGTATTTTTTAGTTGTCATGTTACTGGCTCACATCACAGATTAATAGATCACACTGTCAATGTTACAATTTGTTTCAAACCAAAGTGTGCGGCATTGGCTAGAATATTTTAATTTTGTAACATTGATATAGAAATTGGTCATTAGTCGTCACTAGTTACATGTTTTGAGAAACTAGCTTTAGAGCACGAACATCACTTTCTCTTTGTAAAAGTTCGTCAAATTTATTTCTTTTCATCTGGCTAGCAAGTGTTAAAGAATGAATATCAGAGCTACTCTGTATATATAAATATATATTAATTTGGAGAGACTTTACAGCGCCATATATATAAGCCAACGTGATTATCATAAGATATAGTTATTTGGGTGATCCGATCCATTTGATTATAAGATGTAAAGGATATAAATTAACAAAAGAGAGAATAGTACAAGGAAGAAGAATAATAATAAGTGGGGTTGAGAGGTAAATTTGGGGTAGGGAAGAAAAGACAATGTAGGTTTGATTATGGACAGGTTGTGAAGGTTTATTATTGACAAGGGAGTAAGGGACATTTTGCATGTGCTTGTACATCGACTACCAGCTCTTGCATGTGCTTTTATGGCCTTTCAAAACCTACAATAGATAGTTTTTGATAATGACTGTAGCTAACCTTATATAGTATACTATCATATGTCATGGCCCCTTATAAAGGATTCACATGTATATTCCTCGATACTAAATATAATTTCTCGTTCACGGTTGTATATATAGCCGGTTGTGTAACATAACAAGGGTGACACATTCCAATAGATCGACAGTTCATACAGTATTGATAGTTTATCTTAGTAATTTATTAGCGATTTGTTGTACGTCCATATTAATTATATGCACCGATAGAGAAGATTGATAATGGGTGTTTGTTAGCTTATCAATATATCATAGTCCAATTTAACAAGCAATATATGGTATGCCTTTTCGAAAAACTTGTTAAAAATAGCATTGATGTAGATTGTGTAGCTGCATGGTGTTAAGTAATTACTTAACGTATTAATTGAAACTTCAATAATTGGCCTTTTCTTGCACTATGAGATTCTCTTATAAGTAGGTGTACTCAGTTTAGAAATTGAATTTTCGAACCAAGATAGATTTATTAATGAAGGCTTTATGAAGAAGTTAAAAGTTAAGATAAGGTATATGGTGTACTTTTGATTAGTTAAGTGTCTGAATTAATTGGTGATATGTTTTTTAGAAGTAAAAATGACGTATTGTTTAGGTGAGATACGTTGCATTGGATTTCTTCATAAGATGGTGAACAAATTGTGTGAAAATTTTATTTAATTTCTGCAAGACTTGCATTGATGCTTGGCCATGGGATTATATATGGTCAATTTTTGTAAGGCGGCCCTTTGTTAGTTGGTAAGAAAAGGTCATAATGAAAAGGAAATTTTCATTTTTACCACCTTCAAATAATGACTTTATCGAATTTACCACCTCAAAAAAAAAAACATTTACTTTACCACCTCATAAAAAAATTAAACATCAGTTTTACCACCTCATCTGAGCTCAGGTGACGGAAAACGCTTGTGGGGCCCAGCTAACTGTCACTTCCCTCCAATTTAATTCTTTTAAAATCGATTTCCCTCTGTCTCCTCCTTTTCTCACCTTCCATAATCAATGTCTCACCAAATTTCTCACTTCCTCATCAATTTTCGTCTCTCTCTCCTTTGATTTTTCTTGATTCTCACTGTAACTGCTTCTCTCTCCTTTGATTTTTCTCTTTCTCTCTGTAAAAACTGAAACCCTAGATCAATTTGGGTGGTTGAAATCGAGATGGAACCACAAAATTGCAACACATCAGCTTCTCTTGTCATCTTCCACAGGGTGAGGGGACCAAAAGCTTGGTAATTTGCTGACAGAAATCGAGATTCCTGACTACAAAAGCTACTTTAAACCCTTTATTAGTACATTTCGTTGGATTTATGGTTGTCAATTGGGGTAAAGTATGCCTTTTTTCGGAATCTGTGAATTAAAGTATTATAAACCCTAATTATGCGAATCTTTGACTGAATTAGAGTGTGCATTTGTTAAATAATTAGTTAATTAGATTTACTTGTTTACTGTTAATTTAGTGCACAGTCAATATGAATTGCTTTTACTTGCTGTAATTGGTGAATTGGTTGTTGTTGTTTACTGTAATTACTGAAATTGGTTATTGTTGTGTGTGCTTTTGTTGGTGTTGTTACAGAATGGACACAGTGGACTTAAAAATTACAGTAGGGGGTGCCTTTATACCTTCTTTAGCTGGTAAAAATAGGAGGGTGTTAACTTGGGATGGTGGGTGGGTTTATTGGATGAGAAAAGTGGAAAAAAATAAGATAGATGTACACTTTTTGAGGCAAACAGCTATACATGGGTTTGTGTATGTGAATGTGAAGGTTCCTAGGGGGTTTAGTTGCTGGTATAAACAAAAGGGCAAGTCTTGGGTGAATGGTAAAAGGGAGCTTGTTGATGGTGAGGTGAATGGTTTCCTAGAGTCTGTGAACAAAGAGGGGGCATGTGAGATGTATGTTACCAGTCATGAGCCAATTGAAGGGAATGAGCTAACCCCTGCACAAAGGAAGGAACTGAAAAAGAGGTTTGGTGGGCCTAAAGTATATAAACCCAGCCCAGAACTTAGTAAGCCCACTGAAGAAGAGCCATTTAGGAGAAGCCCTAGGTTAAAAGGCATTGTTATACATGACAGAGAGGCTGAGGAGAGGCTTCCTAGGGCAGAGAAAGTGAATGCTAATACACATAAAGGGAAGGGTAAACTCACTGCTGCAGATAAGGGTAAGGCTAAGGTTGGGGATGAGACTGGAAATCATGCTAATTTAGTGAGAAAAATAAAAGAAAGAGTGAGGAGCTTAAGGGATGACAATGATGTGTTTACTGATGAGGATGGTGATACAGAGTCTTCTGATTCTGAGTTGAGTGATTTTGAGTTAGAAGTTGATGAGGGAGAGGAGGACTTATACTCTGATGATGATGAAGAGTGGTTGAAGAAAAATTTAGACCATATTAACAGTGAGGTGAAAGGCAGTTTGAGGGGAGTTACTAAAGGAGGGGATCAAAGTGATGATGAGGACACAGGGTTTGACATAGAAAGAAATCTACAGATAATTGAAGTGAGGGTTGAAGAGGAGGCAACTTGTGATTCTGATGAGCTAAAGAGTGTGGAAGGTGATTCAGATGATGATCAGGGTAGTGTTACTTGGTTTAACCCTGAGACAGACTTTGAAAGGGCTATCAAATTTGTAGTTGGTCAAAGGTTCAGTGATGTGCAAACAATGAGAAAAGCTTTGAGACAACATGCAATTGAAAATAGGTATGAGTATTACCTTCTTCACAATGATTCAAAAAGGCTAACAACATATTGCAAAAGGAAATGCAAGTGTGTGTATAACAAGAACAGTTGTAGGATAGTGAAGTGTACATGTAGTAAGGGTGTTAGGTGTAGGTTCAAGTTCTATGCAACAAGGCTTGTGAAATCAGAGGCTTGGCAAATTAAGACACTAAGGCTGAAGCATAGGTGTGTTAGGAGTAAAATGAACAACAAGGTGACAGCAGAGTTCCTTGCTGACATGTACTTGGAGGAGTTCAGGGGCAACCCCAGATGGAAGATTAAACAGATTCAGGACATGGCCTTGAATGACTTGGGGATCAAAATTACATACTCCAAGGCTTGGTTGGCTAGAAGCAAGGCAAAGCTTATAATATATGGCTCTTCATCAGAGCAATACTCAAAGGTTTGGGACTATGGGAAGGCACTGCTGAAATGGAACCCAGGGAGTGAGTGTAATGTGGTGGTGGATGATATTAATCAAATTGAAAGACCAATTTTTATGAGGATGTTTGTGTGCTTAGCTGCACTTAGGGATGTATTCATTTCTGGTTGCAGACCAGTAATTGGGGTGGATGGGTGCCATCTAAAAGGGGCATACCCTGGGCAGATCTTGGTTGCAGTTGGAAAAGATGGCAATAATGCCATCTTCCCAATTGCTTGGGCAACTGCAGAGATTGAGAACAAGGACAGCTGGTGCTGGTTTCTGGAGAGCTTGCTCAAGGCACTTTGTCTGTATGACCAAGGAGATGGCTTGACTTTTATGTCTGACAGACAGAAAGTAAGTGGGTTGTGTTTGTGTTTAAATTACTTTGCTTTATTTGACTTTTCTGTACACTAACTTGTTAGTTTTGCCTTGTGTGTAGGGTCTCATAGAAGCATTTGCAGATGTGGCCCCCAAAGCTGAGCTCAGATTTTGTGTGAGGCATATTTGGTCAAATTTCAAACTGAAATTTCATGGTGCAACTTTCAAGGAATTGTTCTGGGCTGCTGCTAGGGCAAGCACTCTGGTAAGCTTCTATTTAGGTTCTTTTATGTCAGTTTTATGGTGAACTATAATGTATGCTAGGTGATTTTTTGTTTAGCTTGTATCAGTTTGGTTTTTGCCCAAATACTTGTGAATTTTGCCCATTTATCTACATTTAGTTTTGCACATATTTGCATGTCTTTCTATTTTGTGAAAACTGTATGCCATGTGTCTATGTTGTGTTGAATGTTTGTCATGTGTATGGTTGTATCAGTTTGAGTTTGAAGTTGCTATGGAAAGTATCAATTTTTTGGATGAAGAAGCATACCAGTGGCTGTCAAACATTGACCCCCAACACTGGTCAAGGCATGCTTTCTCTACAAACTGCAATTCTAACATGTTGTTAAACAACATGTGTGAGACATTTAATGCAGTGATTAGAGATGCCAGAGACAAGCCTATTCTAACTCAAATGGAATGGCTTAGAAGATATATGATGAAGAGGAGTAATGACAAATGGGAGGCAACAAATTCTTGGGAAGGTTTACTAACCCCATTTGTCAACAAAGTCTTTGATGGGTTGGAGAAGTATGCCAGGACATGTGAGGTTACAGCGTCAAGCGATGAAATTTATGAGGTGAAATACAAGGATGATCAGTGCATTGTGGATCTACAAGAGAGAAAATGCACTTGTTATAGATGGGAGTTGACAGGAATACCTTGTGTCCATGCATTTGCTTGCATAATGGACAAAAGGGATGATCCTGAGTTGTATGTGCACCCACATTACTATAGGGTGACATACTTGGCTGCATATGAGAACCCAATACAGCCAATGCCTGGCCCTAAGAATTGGGAAAAGGTCAAGCTCAGACAGCCTTTGCCACCTATGCTGAA